AAAACTTCAACTGATCTTGGGCCAACACAAATCAAGATTCAATGAGTACGAGTTCAAATCAACGTCTGTGCTAGTTGAATTCAAGATCATCGTTCGTGGCAACAAATATAGATTCAAGATCAAGCTCAAAGACCCTTGAATTTATTTACTATTGGAAAGAAAAATCAGAGAATTCATAGAGATTGGACTCTCATATTATTTGAAATCAAATACTACGATTGTTGCAATATTTTCGATCTCGATTATTTTCTTGACGCCAATTTAATGTCAACAGCTATTAAAATTAAAAAGTTTGACTTTCACTATCCGAAATGCATCAAACAAATTTGGACAGAGAAAATATTAATTAGTATAGTATAACCGTTTTTAGCAAGCCACTTTTCTTCTTCAGTATGTCTTAGGCGTCGATGATATATTTCCAGAAAATGTGACTTCCACGAACAATGTGGGGATTTGGTGAATGCTATCACAAGACTAGGTCTTGAATTCAGTATCAACCTTAGCCGCAGTGCCTGTTAAGCATGAAAATAACAGAAGTGAGTAACTCTATTCAGTGAGAGTGTAGACCGTAGTTACGATATAAGTTACAACACATGGTTGCCATTGACAATACCTATAGTTGAGTTTTAAATTGGTGTCATAGTGTACAAATGTTTACATTATCAAAGCATAAAATTAAAATATTGGTTTTAGGCAATGTTGTGAACAGTCTTCGAGAGAGAAAAAGAAAATAAAGGATGGAGAAATGGAAGACAATATATTGAGGGTAATTCCCTTTTAAAGAAAAGATTTGATAATATGCATAAGGGTACTTCAATAAAATGTTAGGAAACAAACATGCCCAATTAATATGACTCATCAAATTAGATGGGTTGTTGGAAAAGCAGCATATTATAGTTTGTTGATGAGAGATCAACTCAATGGTATATAAACCTTTTATTAGCTTTTTAGGTGTGAAAAATAGGAAGGACCACCTAATGGGCTAATGGCTGATAATGCCCATATCTTGTTGGAACCTATTAGCTCGATCGTCATGACAGTTTTTTCAACCATTTTGGCATCATAGCATTAGTTGTGTCAACATTGATGAAGTTGCGTGTTTCGAAGTCTTCCTATTAGGCTACTACTTATACAGGCCCATGTCATCAATATCATCTTTGTTTCTTCTTTTAGGTTGTCGCATGGAAGCAGGATTTTCATTAAGGGATTTATCATTTATTATATATATAGTGTTACTTTAACAACGAAGGGTGATTAGATTCGATTTCTACAAAAATTAAATTTTGATTTAACTTATATATATAAACGGTATAAGTAACTTTTACATTATCAACATAATTTAATCTATCATAAGAGATCGCTATCTCTTTACTTATTTTACAGGCAACTAGTTTCATTTATTATGAGTAGACACTGATTGTTATTTTTTACATGACACCTGATAGTATACAGTATTAGTGTATATATAGAAGCTAATTTATTTAAATTATATAAGCTCACAATATAAACTTTTTTATATTCTTAGTGTAGTTAACTAAGTTCTAACCCAAGAAAATGCAGATAAGCGTTTAAATACTTATGTATTTCGAGTACATCTTTAAAAACCATTTTAAGTTTTACAAAGCCAACAGCAGTTTCCTTGACGTTCTGTTATCCACTGAAAGATTTTATACTAGTTTTCACTAAGGACAAAAGTACAACTTTTTTCTGATTTTATGGTGTCCTAACGCCACACCGTTGTAATTAGATGTTTACTTTATGGTGGAATAAGATATTTTAAAAAGAACCCCGTCATCCTCCAATTACATGACTGAGTTTATTGAAGATAACATTGGCGACTTTAAGATATAAATTTAATGAATTTTAATTTTTAAATTTTTTATTATAAAACTATTGCAATTTAACTTTGTGTTTTTCTTCGTATACACTGAGATTGAAAATATTAAATTCAGTTGAACTCATCCAATACAAGTCCATAACTAGCACGCATATAGAGGTCATGACTCATGACATCGATCCACAGGTTCAAACATTGTTTGGCGTTCTTATCCAATATATGTACATACTTTCAACTGTTCTCATATAAAATATCAGAAAGCTTCACTTTTCCACAGACCGCACATGTTTTTGCACTATCAAAGGTTTCTGTTCAATTCAACAACTAAATCCTACAAGTTGCACTATATATCCGGCACTAAAACACAACTCATGATTATTCTTGGACCTTTGGTGTATATGGATTTAGATTACTAATAGCTAGTTCTTTTTGTATTGGTTCAAATCGATTATATTACCTTCGCTCTTTGTCTTTGGACGATATAATAAGATGTTAAATTATTTCATTCATGTTGATGGATCAATTCAAAGTTTGAACTGTGTAACTGTCTTATTTAAAATTCAAAAGTTGTAATCTCAATAAAGCATGTTCCCAAAGATGATTTTTCGCTACCGTACATTGATTTGCTTATGGACAAGATTATTGTGAAAGTATGCCTACTACTCTTTTCTGACGATTCGAAATTTCACGCCCGCACATGTGGCTGAATATATAAGAAAGTTCACACACCCTGAAAAAATCCATCATTTATCCCTGACTTGCCAGCTTGATCGCTTGTTTTATTTACCGTTTTCTTAGCGGGTGGTTTATGTCTGGTCCTTTCGGGTCGCCTGACCTGGGCTGATGGAAAACTTTAGTTATTATTTTTGGTTTGTAAAAAGAAGAATAACGTCTATACCTTTTTTCCTTTTTAGGTTCAATGATTGTATTTAATAATGAAAATTACAGATATCTAATACTCCCTCTTTTCTAGTTTATGTGAACTATTTCTTTTTGGTCCGTCCAAAAAAGAATGACTCATTTCTAAATTTGGTAACAATTTAGTTTTAACTTACAATTCTACCCTTAATAAGAAGCTTTTATAACTATACAAATATGCTGGGGCCCTTTTTGACTTGTTTAAGATTGCAAGTTCCAAAAGTCTTCATTTTTTTTAAAATTTCGTGTCCAATCAAACAGGTTTACATAAATTGGAACGGATAAAATACTAAGATGATCAGTGGTCATGTAAAAACGCAATAGGATGTGGGATAGGTGTGGAAGAGCAAATGGACCTTAATGCTTCTTAAACAAAGAGACAAAGCAAACTACAAAACTCAATACTACTGGATACTAAAGTGGGGTGCATTCCCATATATTTCAAAATGCCACTACAGTAGGCATAGAGGCCAACTCAGCCTAAGAGCTGAATCCTATGTATTTATTAAACTTAGGGGGATCCAATTAAAGGTTGTACATTGTCCGATTCATATTGATGTGTTTGTCCCATTTAGGTACACTAGTTTACAAGCTGTGATTTAAACTGCTCACTGACTCCTTTGTACAGCGTGTATGAAAGAAATTTTTTTCACTGTCAAATCATTTAAATAGAAAATTCATTACCGTTATTGTTAGTTCTTGACAAAATTAAATCTTGACTAGACAATTGCATGGTCACTCATTCAAGCAGAGGCGGATGCAATGTGAGAGTTACGTGTTCAATTGAACCCATAACTTTCGATACGGAGTAAAAATTTATTAAAATTGCGAAATTAATAGATTTGAACCTATAACTTTAAATATATAATTGGTTCAATGTTAAAAATCTTAAAAATTGAACCCATAAAATTTCCTGGATCCGCCTATGCATTCGAGGCCATTTTACTCGAAATATGTGAAGGCTTTGGATTCTCGATCTAAGCTGCAGGCTTACCCTTTCTATCATGATTTAGGGTGGGGTGATCGATCATAAGAGAATTGAGGAAAATAAAACAAAAAAATGGGTAAGGCCCCCACCATTGCTAAATACGTAACTATATTAATGAGTTTTCCTACCAATTTGCAGCTTGCTTTACTAATTATGGAAAAGATCTCGATCTAGCTCTTTTCTTGCTGATCTTGCATAATTTCCTTCATCGATCATCACTTATAGAGTTATAGTCATTGCACTTGCACTTATGGTTCAACCAATTAAAAAGAAGCAATAAATTTTTTATCCCCGGAGTGATTATCCATTTTCAACATAACATATAACTTTTTTTTGCGTTGTTCTAATATGCTTGTTCCGTTTTTCTTTTTAATCCTGACAAGTCTTTGTAAAATAAGGGATCATTTTAGAAAGATTTTTGCAACCAATCTCCATAAAGGATCTCGCTTAATTAATCATAATAGACGAAATGTTGCCGATATTTCGCAATACACTCATTTTTTTAGCTGTAATTTTTGTCAATCTTCTTTAAGTTAGTAGAGGAATCAAATACGTCGGTCTTTTTCTTTTTTTCTTTTTTTTTCTTTTCTCTTTTTCAGAAAGGGAAGTCCCAGGTCTTTGTCCCCCACTACTTCTCCACTTCCACTTCTCGTTGAATGGGACATACACATAGCAAGCAAGTTAACCTAATTAGATAATTAGATTGGTTAATTTACTGTGTAATTACAACACAATTTTCTTTCTCCCGCCTGCATGTTGCATGCTAGTGGCCGTTCATACTTCTTTTACATGGCCCCATATAACTATTTAATCGTACTGTTGATTAGAATAACTTGATCTTCTTTTTAATTCCAAAACATTACATTGTTAGCTCATGAGTAGAGTTACTATAGTTTATATCTCAATATCATGTTCTGTTATACTCTTCCTCTATTTTAATGGTCAGAATGTTGTTATCCATCGCCTTATTATCACTTACAGCTTAAAGATTTTCATAATTTTACGCTATTATAGGCTTATAGCATGTCTCGACAATAATACATATTCCATTACAGGTTTTGTAATTGATAGTAAATCAAGCAGAGCAATTATACTATATATGATCGTAATTAGAAGCAATTGGTCCAATTGAACCAATAACTTTCGCTTATACTCTATATTTTTGCCAAAAATTTCATTAAATATGTACAAATAATATTTTTTAAAATAATTAAATTAGATGAGATGTGATTGAATTACGAATCTGAACCAATAAAGTTTAAATCTTGAATCCGCCTATGTCTTCACTCAATAATGAAAACCTCTGAGGGGTAAAATTGCGATACAACCCCTCTATTGGCTGACAGTGCATAAAAACCAAAAACAAGCAAACGCCGAATTTTGAACAAGTAGCATCTAACTAGACGAATAGTAATCTCAAGATCTTTTACAAAACCTACTATTTACATCTCATGCAAAATGAACAGTTAGCTTCTTCAGATAGTACCCTTAATAAAGTGAGTAAAAACTATCAAAGATCAGATCTCAAATCTCACTAGTGATAAAAAAAAATTACTCCAATTGATTTCTTTGTCTATATAAATAATCTTCATGGTCAAAATTATCCGTACGCACAAACTGACCTATCACCACCACATTTTTTTTTACCCCTACTCATTTATTGCACTCAACTTCGCCGTGAACTTCTTTCTCCTGGCGCTGCCACCCCGATTGTTTCTCCCTCTAGAACCACTGTCATCCACCACTTTCTTGGAAATTTTTCCACCACCTTTTTCAAATAGAATTAAACATTTCTCACCGTCACCACTATTATTTAACGCAGAACTAGCCTTCACAGCTAATGCAGCCATTTCCTCAGCCTGAAGCCTACATTTCAGTTGGCTCAAAGGCAGAGCAAAATATAGTTGACCTAGTTGAAGCTCCTCCTCGTCACTTATGGCAGAAACTACGTCTCCGAAATCCATTTCGTCGGAGTTACAAATAAAGATTGTAGGGTCATTTTGTAACAAGTATGAAGCCTTCACTGGATAAGAGAACTCTTGTAACCTTCCGTCATGTAGTATTAATTTGACAGTAGCAACTGATGTCGATTCGTATGAACTGCATATGCCCATTATTCTGGTTATATATACGCTCCACCACACTTTCAGTAAAATAAATTAAAGCATATGAATGGATGAAGGAAAGAGTTAATTATGCTTATTTGAAAAGACTGAACGGAGAGAGAAGTAAGGGTGAGAGGTATATATAGGAGGGGAGAAAGTATTGAGTTGTGGACCAGAGAGCCACCTCAATTTTATCATGTGGCATAGGAACTATTTAAGAATTAATACTAAACCGTAAATGGAAGTGCTTTACTTTTTATATACTGATAAATTATTTAAAGTAAACTCCATAATTCTCTATTGTTAAAGTAATTTATCTTGTCAGCGTGTATAACTTAGGAAAGAAGTTCAAATGTATTCATCTATAGTACGATATAAGCATCTCAAGTTTATTTTGTATTATACTTCAGGGTCATTCATATCTTTGTCATTAATTAATTGTCTCGTATTTGCCTATGTTTTTATCTTTATATTTTAGACTATGTTTTTAAACTACCATCCCATTATATTTCATGTTAGAGCTATGTTGTGATCAATGACAAATATGAGAAATGACAAGAGTATGCATAGGTTTAGAGTACAACCAATGATAAAATTAAAATATTTTGCATTATACAAGAATATTTGTACCCTTTTTTTATCTTTGACGTAAATACATGTTGTTATCGTGTCAATATTAATCCAGTATGCCATCAGTGAGCACTGCATTGCCAACTTGTAAAATGGTGGTGACAGGTTGTATGAGGAGAATACTGCTACCTTTCACTCTGCCCCACGTTTCACCAAAGTACAAAATCCTGGATTCAGACTACCACGAACGATATTAAGGCTTTGTTGTTGTTATACTCCAAAGTCCAAACTTTAAAAGGCTAAATTAGATGATTAAGTCGAGATTTGAGACGCATTTATTATGTTCATGATATTGTACTAAATTATAAAGACTAGCTAATATAAGAAAGTGTATTGTGAACCGTCAAAGGAAACGGTATGGTTAATACATTTAGAGGATTCACGAGAATAAAAGTTGATGGTAGCGGCTTTTAGAAGAATAAGACCGCTCAAGGGGTGGGTGAGAGGTTGTTAGCTAGAAATAACTAAGTATCTCAATTTAGTAACTTTATGGAGTACATCAATTAAATTATTTAATTTCAAGAAATACATGTTAATCATACTAGTAATATTTGATTAAGTAATAAAAAACTTCTAAGATATGTATACTATAAAAGGTATTTATTACTCCCTCCGGCCAAGTTTACTTGTCTACTATACTCTTGATAAATGTCCATTTTTACTTATTCAGTTTAAAAAATCAATGGATAATTTATCATTTTATACCTATTTAGCCTTATCATTTCCCAACATTATGGATTTGTAAAAGTCAAAGTTATTTTTTCAATAATAATAATTAGGAGTGATATAGAAAAATTATCGTGTTATTATTGTTTCTTAAGGTGTGTGTCAAATCAATTATGGACAAGTAAACTTAAATGGAGGGATTATTTAATAGTATGAATACTTTACAGGATAAATTACTAAATCCTAATTGGTTGTGGGACTTCAACACCTAACCGCCACCAAATCTTGACTAAACGCGTATCATAGCATTAATTAAATTTGAAAAGGCAAATGTTATGTAGAGAGAGGAAGGAAAGAAGAAGGTCCACTGGCTGACCACAAACAAACAAGGAACCTGTGCCTCTGATATTGATATCTGCACCACTTGATTCCAAACCTTGATCATAGTCTTTCAGTTTTCTTCTTTTTCTAGATGACACTATGTATGGCTGCAATAATTCTCTGCTTGAAATTGGGAGGAAAATAGAAAGATCGTCGAGCTTTTTTATTTGCTTAGGAAAAAGGAATGGAAGAGATTTGGTGGATAAAATAGATCCAACATAAGTTCACTATTAACATAAATTTCAATCTAGCTTTTAAAATAAAATTAAGGTAATTAACTAAGCCCGCTTCTTATTTTCTCAGGAAAAACCTTCTCTGTCTAGGTATAAGACTTGCGTAAATACTATCTTTCCTAGATTCTACTTATAAAAAATCGCTGAATTTATTTTTGTTGTAATTAACTAAGCCATTAATAGGGTGATATTACTTGCAAAAATACAAGACCGAAAGTTAAGCATTAAAACCACCATATGGGCCTAGATGCAAACCCGCTCAAAATGAAAAACAATATATATTTCTATTATATAGAAAAGGAAAGATGGTCAACCAAGGGCATATATATCATTTCGAAAAAAATTATTGTATTGTTTGTATTTCTTAAATGCAAAGTGTGTCCTCCTTGATATAGGTGGACCCCACATTCCCTTGACCACAACACTCCTTTAAAAGTTTAAATGTACTGTTGATTAGACTACTATTGCATAGAGTTACTCCATGCAAATACTCATTTTGAATAATTTTTTCTCATTTGATAAAATTATTAATTTTTGTTTTAGTCAATTAAAAGTTTTCTCAGAAAAAGTAAATTTAATTTTTAAATAGTAAAGCAACAAAAAGAAATATAGATAAATATTTACAAGATTTTCATATTTACCCATACTATTTTAACACAATTTAAAAAATAAAATTGAAGGTTTTCATGTATTCACACTATTTGAAGGCGATTTCAAACCTAAAAGTTTTATATTCAAAAGCAACTTTAAAAGCTATAGTTTGTTAAACCTTAAAAGTTAATTTAAGTGATGATATTTGTTCATCTGTTCTAGGAGGTTATTTCTTATGTACTTAATTGATGTGAAAATTTGATTTATATGGTTTGAACCCCATTCTTCCATGATAAGTTTTCAACAATCTATAAATTGTCTTAAAATATTTTATATTACTTCATTATAAAAATTAACATACGATAAATCTATAGAAAAAATAAAAACATTTCTCTTGTATCCTTAATTAAGAAAAAATTAGAACCTTATAATTTATATAGACTTCTATCAGATATTTATTATCTTATCACCAGTAACATCATTTTAAACAAGTTATAATAAAATATAATTTAAACTACTATATTGAATTACTACAATTTATATTATGTTAATATTTGTTTAGTGCAGTTGGTTCTCTTTGTTTAAAGTAGTAAATTGCCTCTTTAGGGATGCCAGTCCCCTTTGGAAAGTTCTCTTTGTTGACTGTACTAAAAATTTCTCTTGATTTTATTTTATACAAGACATAAAGTAAAATCATAAGTTTTTTTTTTCAAACTTTTCTCGTATTGTAAAGAATGATGTTGTTCGTTTTAACTTTCATCAGGTAGCTAATTGTTTTCACTATTGAAACACTTGCAAGATCAAATTGGATGTATTCAAAATTAGTTTACAAATAGATCGGTAAGTTTTTTATTGTAGAAAAATTATTAACATAAATTACACTTGTACCTTTAATGTATTATCTTGTTAAAAATTCAAATATAGTAGGAAAATAACACCATTCAATTAATTTTACAATTTGATATTTATATTTGACATTGATGTTAAATATAGTAGGAAAATAATACCATTCAATTAATTTTACAATTCGGTCAGTGGCGGAGGCAGGATCTCCACGAAGGGGGTTCAAAATTTTTTTCTTGTAGCTAGTGGGAATTGAACCTATGACCTTATGAAGGTTTTGAACCCCCTTGACCACTAAACTACACTTTTGGATGTGTTAAGTGTGTTCAAAGCTTAATATATAGAGATAAAAAATAAATTTTGCCTTATATATACAGTGTAATTTTTCGGCGAAGGGGGTTCGGGTGAACCCCTTCCGCCCCCCTAAATCCGCCCTTGCCTTCGGTATCGTGATGGCGCCTAACATTTCACTTTCTAAGCAAGCAAACGTTAGATATAGTTTTTAGTCATTTCTAACAATTTAAAATCAACTGAAACCAATAAGCTGAATAAGCTGAAAAGAGTAAATAAATTAAAATAACAGTGATATTTAGATACAATCTCAAAACTAGTGTCATTAGTGCACGAGCAATCTACTGACTGCCGCTAGGACCGACTCCAAAATCTGCACAAGAAGTGTAGAGTGTAGTATGAGTATAACCGACCCCATGTACTTTGTAAGTGTCGAGCCTAACCTCGACGAAGTAGTGACGAGGCTAAGGCGGGTCACTTACAATAATAATAATAATAATAATAATAATAATAATAATAATAATAATAATAATAATAATAATAATAATAATAATAATAATAATAATAATAATAATAATAATAATAATAATAATAATAATAATAAAGGAAAACAGGAAACGACAGCAAAGCAGTAAACTAATGAAAGCAACTCATTCCTCAAAATCAGTAAATCCAGAAATATCAGTCCTCAGAATCTCGTATGAAAATACTGAAAGCTATCACAATACAACAATGAGTGCAACACACATACACAATACGAGCAGTGCGCAACCCGATCGCACCGTATAAACAAATCCTCCTTTATTTCACCATATCAATATCAGAAATAACATATAAAATTCGTTGCGGCGTGCAACCCGATCCCACCGTATCAATATCAAATCCTTCCTTATTCCACCATATCAATATCATAATCATATATAAAATTCATTGCGACGTGCAACCCGATTCTACCATACCAATATCAAATCCTCCTTTATTCTACCATATCACAACCATTGAGGCGTGCAACCCGATCCACAAGCAAATTCAATAAATGTGATCAATCCAACAACTCAATTCACAACAATCTCTACGATTAAAGAATATGAAAGCAAAGCAATAAAAGAACCCCGTACCGAATCAAGGAATGTTACAAGTATACAAGCAACAAGACAACTCGAATATATGGCAGTTAAAGTGTACAAGTAAGACAACTAAGGCAAGTAGCAACTAATCATAGAATCATGAAAGAGACTAATATTTCAATGCCAAATTAAATAAATGACAAGTAACGAGTTATGACATAGAGAGAAATTAAAGCATGTAACAATTAACAACATGGGATAATATAATTGATGAAATACGGGAAAGCATGGAGAATATTATTTTGACGGCGTATATACACTCATCACCTCGCATATATGACATACACAATTAATTCACATAACATATAGTTCAAGGGTACCTAATTCCCTCAAGTCAAGGTTAGACCCAACACTTACCTCGCTCCGCAAGCAAATCAAAACTCAACCGGGGCCTTTCCTCTAAAATCC